TTAATTGGCATGACAAATGGCAAATTTTAAAAAATGAAATAATATACATTACCAAAACCTTTGCGCTCCAAGTTGGTATTCTATTCAATCAAAATCCAATATCTTCTATTAGAACAATATATATATATATAAGCTCATTGCTTGATACAAATTTAGGTAATAAATAAATAAAATTAGTTATGGCAAGATGATGACACAAATAAGACAATTAATATGCTGATGCATGCCAAGATTGAATTTTAAGGATGCTCCTCACTAATCAAACATTAATGACGCCAAACGCTTTGTTTCAAGCTAAAGCAATGGATAACTAATCATAGGATTAGATGTGGTGGAGACATCATCCATCGCATGATTAAGAATACATTACCTTCTATGATATCCAATGATGCATATCTTCCAATTTCAACCCTAATTCGTGAGGGAGTTTTGAATTCCGGATATCAAAGTCACCCAAATGTATGGTAGTCATATCATTGGGCTAATTAATGATCCTTAATAATAATAATAATTAAAACCCTAATTGTGCCATGCATCCATTAATTAAGAAGCAATGCTAATATATTACACGCTCATACATATTGTGGAAGTGATTGTTGGATCACATCTTTTGTTGGAAATCATTCTTGTTGAATGGTGATAGAATCATGATGGAGAAGAAGAAGATAAAAGGAAAAGAAAAGGGAGATAAGAAAATGTTTGAGTGCCAAAGAAGGAACTAAAGCTTTTTATTTTTAGGAGAGGTCCCTAATAATCTTATGGGGCTTTGATCTCAGTGGCATGCATGTGTTCTTGTCTTTAAAGTTTTTTTTTTTTATATTCCCATTCAAGCATTCATATATTCTTTTTTTTTACCTAAATATTTTTTTCTTTCCATGAACATTATTCCAATGTATTTTTTTTACTGATTTTGGTAAAAATCTTTGCATATTGAATGATATTCATGATCGTGTCAAATGGATACTACATATAACAATACACAATCATGAAAAAAAATATTTTACTGAAAATTCTGTTTCTCACTCAATAACTTTGTATAATATTGAAATAGAAATTAAACAAATGATTGAAAATTATTGAGAGTTAGAGTTATCTTTATAAAATTATATATATATGTCTCTAGTATAAATCTAAATATTTCAAACAGATACTTTGCTACCCAAAAAGTGAATCTCCTGTTCAGTTTTACAAAGAAAAATTAATGGTAGTTTTTATTTTAAAAAACATTGTACTTTTTTAATGATATTGAATTAGAAAGTAAACAAATCTAAGTATTTTAAACGGACATTTTACTATCTAGAACTCGAGTCTCTACTTTAGCTTTACAAATAAAAATTATGATAATTTTATTTTACAAAGAAAAAATGTAATAATTTTCAATGATAAATATGTAATATAACATTAAATTAGATATTAAATAAATTCAATTATTTCAACCAAAGACTTTGGTGTGTACATTCTAAGTCTCCTCTTTGGTGTAGTTAAAGTCTCAATCCAATTGTATACTACGTATTTTTTATTGTCTAAATATTTTTTTTATTTTAAACGACTGAACCCAGTCGTGCAATTTTTGGTGAACTAGTGATAAGAAATCATATTTCGCATTCGAATCGAGTTATGGAGAAGAATGTTTAGATAAATAAATATTTATTTTCGACAACGGCTGATTCTGAATATAGAAACTAATTAGATCGAAAACTCAGTAAAATATATATTACAAAAAAAACAGTCATATATGTATATATGTATGGATGTAAATAATAAAACTTGCAAATTATGGTTTTATTTAGGCATGAAATTAGAGTCTTATATAGTCGAAATTACACTTCCACGCAAGGATCATCAATGGCATGGGAAAGTAATAAGCAACACAAGAAATTAAATTCATGGTCCAAGTTTTTCTTCTATTGGCTTCTCTTTTTACGTTTACTTGTGACTTTTTAAAGTAAGAGTGTTAGATCCTTTGCTTCAACAAACACATTTATAAACAACAGATACAAATCATAGCCTCTATTCCTCCTTTATATCCCTTTCGTTGTTAGGTTAGGTGCATCCATATTTACCTACGATTTAAACCAACACTTATTAATAAAACCATTACAATATGTAATTCATCGTATAGCTATGTGGCTTGTAACATTAAATGTTTACTAACAATAGAGATAGTGGACATATGTCTAGATCATTATTATTAGCACGGGTTCTGTCCCAATTAAACAAAAAATAGTTTAAATTTTTAAACTAATTTATATAACATTAATAAAAATAAATAATAATTACATATATCCAATAAAATCAAACTAAATTTCTTTATTTTTATCGTCATCATTAATGGACAATAATTTTTTTAAATGTTTTCTTGACTCGTGATCGTGTAATGTGCTGATTTGGCAACCTTACAAAATGTTAAACAAAGCATATAGAGTTTAACGTGTAGAGGAGTTGGGTGAACAAGGTTGTTAAACAAAACTTGCAAGAATCTTGGTTCACGAGTTTTGAAGAAAACGTTTTTCCATTTGGTCCCTGAATTTTTACATATCTATATTTTCACCCCAAACTACGTAAAGTTGGAAAATAATCCCCACCGTTCATTTCACGCGCTAGCTCAATCACCAGGTTACCTCAATTGGAAACATTGCACGTGCGCCTTTTTAAAAATCTAATCTGCAGCGTAAAAAGCAATCTACATTTTAAAAATAAAAAATTAAAGAAAACGTGGGGGTATTTATGTAATTAACGGCGACAGTTATGCTCCCCAAATCTCTCCTCTCATTAAACTCCCTCTCCCTCTCTCGCTCGCCGGCGTTTCATAACGGTCAGTTTCTCTCTCCCTTCACTGCGAATTCAAAAAGTGAAGCTCTCTTCTTTTTCACTGCAAAATCTCATTCTTCTGATTCTCTGATCATTTTTTGCAGAAGCATATTTTTTCCTTCCCATCATTGATCTCCCTCTCTCTCTCTCTCTCTCTCTCTCTCTCTCTCTCTCTCTCTGAGTCTTCTCTGTTTTCGCAGGCTTTCCTGCGTTTCTTTTTTGTGTTGTGCTGAATTAGGGTTTTGGAAGTAAGCTTGTGGAAGCAGGAGATGCAGAATTCTTAGTTCGATTGATTTATTCCGGTAAATCGAGGAACTGCTTCGCCGGAAGTTTGCGGGATGCCGGCTCTGCGCTCGTCGGAGCCCGAAGACGGCGTCGTCTCTCATCAGCGGCGGAAATCACGAGATGTTCCGTCGCGTTACTTAGCTACGCCTTCTCCGTTTCCGTCCGTCTCTAGTCCTTTTTCTTCTTCTTCCTTTTCGAAGAGATGTCCCTCGCCTCTGATTTCGGCGGAGGCATCGGCTTCGGCGACTTCAACCATCGTCAAGCGTTCCCAATCTGTGGGACGAAGGATTACAGGCACTCCCCGACCGGAGATTTTCAATTCGGGAGCTAAAGACGCCGTACACACGGTTCAGAGAATGCTATTCACTTCGGCGAAGAGCTTGTCTGTGTCATTCCAGGGAGAGGCGTTTTCGCTCCCCGTGAGAAGAGCCAAACCGGCTCCATCTCCGTCTCCGTGCGGTACGAGGAGAGGCACACCGGAGCGATGCAAGGAGTTAGCCGCGACAGCAATGCATGGAAAGACGGCGAATCAAACAGAAAATTCTAAGCCATCGGATGTTCACCCATGGCCGAGGCCGCAGCCAAAGAGTTCCACGAGTAGGGGTGTCGATCATGCAAATGAAAGGAAGAAATTTGGTGGATCTGGTAATCGCGTGGTCAGAGCCCTTCAGAGTTCTTTGCTCCATAACAGAGCGGCTACAGATGGAAGACTATCACTGGATTTAGCTAATGATGCGAAGAAACTGGAGGATATTGCTGACATTATAGTTTCTGCTTCTGACACGGTCTCTGGCTGTGCAATTTCTACCAAAAATGCACTGACCACAACATCGAAGAAGTTCGGGGTGGATATCCCATTGCTGTCACCAAAAGGGAAAGCGAATAGCATATATACACCAAGTCGTCCAGCTTCGCCGAGCAGGATCAACACACCAAGAGCCTTGAATTCAATGAGAGGGACCAGTCCTTACAGGGGAAGAAAAGGTATGGTGGGTGGTTCGAGTGGCAATGTATGCCTTTCGCCATCGGTTTTGAGTTTTGCAGCAGACGTCCGAAGGGCGAACGTGGGGGAGAATCAGGTGGTTGATGCTCATGTGCTGAGGCTTCTTTATAACACGCTGTTGCAATGGCGCTTTGTCAATGCCAGAGGAGATTCTGTGCTCTCTGTCCAGAAGTTGAATTCTGAGGTACAAACACTTGGTTTTCCGAATTGTTGTCCTTCCAAGTTTCAGCTTCGAATTCTTTTGGTTATTAACATTTTGATATAGCTTGTAGGTTATTAGACGATCCGAAAGCATCATCTTGAAGATGAACTCATGCCTGCTTATGTTTCTTGTGAATCATTGAAATCTTAAGCAAAGATGCATGCTATATGGCAGAAAATTGTAGCAATAGGCCAAGAATGGCAATAATAGATTACAAATTTGGTTGTTGCGTCCCGAAAGGAAGCAAAACAAAGAGCTTGGTCAGACGAAAGGATTGGCTCAAAGGTCTGTTCTTTCCTTGAGGATTCTGATGTGTTTCTTGTTTTTCTACTTCAGAGAACTTTATGCACCACATGGTTAAGTGTTTCAAGGCTGCATGATTCTGTCAGAGCGAAAAGGAAAGAACTCCAGATGCTGCAGGGGAACTTGAAATTGGCTCACATTCTCAAGGGTCAGGTTAGGGTTTGGTCCATTCTTATTCCCTTCTCAGAAAGTTCATCACGTTATCGTGCCATTCGCCTTCGTCCTCGGACTTTTTAACACTTGGCTGCAGACATATGTCCATCTTGACACTTAGATTGATTTGATTAGCGTTTGCGAATGTACTTGTAGTTCCTTGCTTGTGAGTGTGTGTGTGTGTGTGTGTGTTTCAGGTAACATATCTGGAAGAATGGTCTATGATAGATGGTGATCACTCTTCTTCTCTAGTCGGAGCCATTGATGCTCTCAAAGCTAGCACAATCCGGCTTCCAGTAGTTGATGGAGCAGTGGTTTGTGCCTTCTCTATATCCGCACACCTTCTCTGTCTTTGTACTGTATTGGCTTCGACAGGGATAATGAGAACTCATAAGATTTTTCCAACACGCAGGTAAATGCACAAAGCGTTAAAGACGCAATCTGTTCAGCGGTTGATGTGATGCAAGCAATGGCATCTTCAGTTTCCGTGTTGTCAAAGGTTATCTTCCTTTCCTCTCTCTTTCGTTTCCTGTCTCTTTTCTCTCATCGTTAGCTTCCATCACTTCAAAACATGTCATCCTCACTAACAGTTACCGCCATATGTTGGTACTGATGGTGCGGGTTATCTAGACGTCATTGGACAGGGTAGGATGTATATCGTATTCTAGACATAGACATGACATGATGGTCCAACGCATATCCTCGGATTCACAGTGTAAAATAAATGTTAGGAAAGAGGGAGTATACACATTAAGAGAACATGACTACTATGTTTTAGAAACTGAGGGAGGGCGTGGATCTAGTATCCGAGTTTTTCGATGTACCCGACTTCGGCCTTGCCCTTTCATCCGACCAAAATATCTATATTCTTCTTATTCCTGGAAACGTGAGACTGTGACAAGATAAAATGGATCAAACAATCTAATTGCATATAAGCACTCCTCGATCAATTTTATCGAATGATAGGCCGGAGAAGTCAGCTCTTTGGCCACTGAACTCGTCAAAGCCGCCGGGAAAGAGCTTACGATGATTGAGCAATGCAAAGATCGCTTGTCCGCAGCGGGGGCCACGCAGGTAAGAGTTTAAAAAAAAAAAAAACTATGTCCTCATCGTATTTTGAACGTTCAAATCTTTTGGTCTGACCATTTGATGATGTTCGATCGTATTACAAACGGTGGAAACACAGGTGAGAGAATGCAGCATGAGAACTCATATCCTACAGCTGCAACAAAGTTCACGACCAAACCGGAATCAGATTGCAAAGGCTCAAGCTCAACCTTTATAGGGCTCCTTTCGAAACTAACACATTACAACTTAGCTTCATTTTTTTTTCCCTAATGGAAATGATCGTTTAGGGAAGAAAGAAATAAAGAATCAGATTTATATTTTCATTGAGAAAAACACAGCCAGAAAAAGAATCATATTTTGACATTTTTTTTTTAATTTTACAGAAAAAAAAAAAGAACAATTACTGGCAGAGTGTAGAAGTAATTTGTGTAAATATAGGGAGTGAAGGGAATTGGTGTTGAAATTTTCTTTTCCCCTGTGTAATCAAGTTAATTTACAGTTTTACCATACGGAAATGCATGGATTTATTAATTTGAATTGGAGAAAAAAAACATTGAGGAAAGATAAATTGTGATTTAACAAAATTTGGTATGTTATGCGAATAAAGTTTATAAACAACAAGCCCGTCTAGCTCAGTTGGTAGAGCGCAAGGCTCTTAACCTTGTGGTCGTGGGTTCGAGCCCCACGGTGGGCGTTTCTCTCTTTTGTTTTCTATCGGTTGCTTGTCCATGCCATAGAATTTGGCAAATATATCCGATTTTTTTTTTACTATCCAAATTAATATTTGTATTCGAAAATGATATTTTTACAAATTTGTTGAGATCTTTACAATGGTGGGCTAACCGAGAATTAACAAGTGGATGCAAAATTGTTGAGAAAAAGTCAAAAACAGCCATACAGTTACGTTAATTCATCCGTACCAAATAAATTCCACATCCAACTTGAAAGCGAATGCAAACGAACACAGCAAAGTTGCAACCCTGTGACTGTTGACTTTCTAATTATTGATTTAAAACGCCACCGATTCTTTTAGTTCGGTTTCAAAAGCTGCACAGCCATACAGTTACGTTAATTCATATGTACCAAATAAATTCCACATCCAACTTGAAAGCGAATGCAAAAGAACACAGCAAAGTTGCAACCCTGTGACTGTTGACTTTTTTCCAACATTGACTTTCTAATTATTGATTTAAAACGCCACCGATTCTTTTAGTTCGGTTTCAAAAGCTGCCGCGTAAATGGCTTTGCTAAATACACGATTAAATAAAACAAAATCAAATTCAACGTAAAGAACCCATATTAAATCAATCATAAAAACCAAATTTTTAAGAAATTAAATAAAAAAAAAGAAAGAAATATAAAATAGGAAACGGTGACACCTAAGGAGTAAGGGCGAATCATAGAGTGTAAGTGGTCGGCTCTGTTGTCACAGCCCAAACCCAAACCATCTGCCTCTTCACTTCACTCCCCCTTTTTTTTTTTAGTACGCCCATATTTTTCTGATTTATCTCTTACAATTTCGTCGTGTTCTGCTGTTTTTTATTTAAAATTTTTCCTTTTAAAAAATTAGACATATTCAAATTTTTATATTGAATTAAGTGTGCTTCATGAATAACATTTTCCATTTTCCATTTTCCATTTTCCATTTTCCATTTTCCATTTTCCATTTTCCATTTTCCATTTTCCATTTTCCAATAAATTTTTGTTTTTATTACTTTTATATTATATTCAGAACTATTTTTTATCATGAGATATGAAGAATATCTAAGTCGATGAACATATAATTATTTTATTATTGGAGAGGAATTATATATACCAGAAATAATCATCTCTGTTTAATGTTACTTCTTAATCGGGATAATATCATTTGTGTCCCTTAATTATTTTGTGTCCGTACATTATTAATATCCAATTATATATATATATATATATATATCCCTAAATTTTGTTTTATTTTTTTTATAACGAACTAAGAAAGTTGTCAATTTAACACGCCGAAAATTAAATATTCTATTCAGTTGTTTAATGAAAAAAATGGTGTACTTTACGAACGAAAAAACACTATTAGTATTAGCCATTTTATTAATATATATATATATAGATATGTATGTATATATTCGTTAGCACTTAGGTAACCGGAGATCTATTGTCGAAATGGTGAGTAATGAGGGTAATAAGTACGTGTACCTACTTGTGTACACATTGCATGGACAATGGACATATATACACACACACACACACAACGCAATACGAATTATACCAAATGCCCGCCACGGAGAAATGTTCCATACGAATAATGATTGGACATGGACGGACCACAATTAAAAGTTTTGGTTGTTAGCAGTTATAAAAATTAATGTATTATAGCATATAATAATAATGTACTTGTGATATGGTTAGAAAGCCACGTAGAGTGACAACAAATCCGAGCTGCCACTATGAACAGCATCTCTCCGGTTGGCCGGTTGGTCACATGCATTAGCTTAAAAACTCCAAACAATTAATTAATTAGTTAATTAAAATTGTACACTCCTAATCAAATACATACAATCTGACTATATCAAAAATTATTGATAATTATCAGAAGTTGTTCGGAACATCAACTTAAATTACAATGGTTCGATGAGTTGTTAACAAATTATATAATTAATTAATGATCCGGGACACGTGTAGGGTGGGGAAACATTACGGTAAGTGGTGTGATTAAGGGTGTTACATTTTGTAATTAATCAAACAGTCAAATTGAATAGCACGGAATAATCGTAATCAATCTGGTGTAAAAATTGAATGGTTTGTGATTTTTCTAGTTTCGAAAAAATTGAATTTGAATTGAATCGATTTGAATAAAAAAATAACTGAAATACATAGATTTTTAAAAAATAAGTTCGAATCAAAATAAGAAACAAACCAAAATTATATAAAAACTAAATGAGTATAATTTTTTTGTAATCGAAATAATCGAATCCAAATATAATTAAATCAAATCCGAATCGAAATCTGGAATGAAGACGACTAGTCGTGATAGTTTCCCAAAAAGGGGTAAAATTAGGGGTGACCAATTCAGGTTTCGGTTCGGATTTGTTTCGGTTATATTCGGATTCGGTTATTTCGGTTATAGAAAAACTATAACAAATTTCGGTTTGGTCCGTTTCGGTTATTTTTGGTTCGGGTTCGGTTTAGTTTCGGTAAAAAGTTTATTTTTTTAAAGAAATTATCGGTTTTTTCGGTTATTTTTTTTAATTCGGTTCGGTTTTGGTTTTTTCGGATTTAAAAAAATCATAACCATTCGGTTTTAATATCGGATTCAGTTCAGATATGGTTATGTCTTATTCGGTTTAGTTCGGTTCGATTATTCGGTTAATAACCAAATGACCGCCCCGCCCTGTATAAAATACAGAAAGCGGAATTTTACATTTTTTTAGCCGCAATTGTAATGGAATTAACGTCATTTATTACACAAACTGCGAAATGACACGTGTCGTTTGTAAATAGCGACTGTAAAGCAGCCTGCCTCGAACCTAATATGACCTCATCCTCATCTCAATCTTTCCCCCGTTTGTCCTAACCCAAAAATCTAAACAACAATCTTCACAACGGTCCACGGATTGCAATTTTTTTTTTTTTTTTGTAACAGAAGTAGGTCTTACGTGTATTATTGACAGCGCGTTGGACCGTAGATTGAATTTGGCTATTTTTAAACAGAAGTTGGAATTTAATCTAAAAACGAGATGATGAATATTTAATTGAATTATGCCCAAAACACCAATCTAACCGAAGAAACTGTTTTTTATGTACAACAAAGAATTTTTCCACACTGACCAAAAAAAAATTTGAAATCCAAACCCTAAAAAAATTGTGTTCCTGATTCCATTAATCACGTAACCCTTTGGATTTCTCTGTGGCTTCAGAGCGAGAACAAGAGGCGGGGCTTCTTCGCCGGCATCGGGCTGATGACTTCGTCGCCGTCACCGGAGACGAAGAACTCGCCGGCGGCGACATCCGGCATCGTCGGGAGGTTCAGGTCGAACTCACGTTGGCTCTGTTGGCTGACGTGGCTACTCGACCCTACGCCCTCCGACGAAGTCACGACGTTCTGATTCCCCAAAGCAACGCTGTTACAGCCGTCGTAGTGGCAGTGCTTGTGGG